ACGAAAATTATTAATTAACCGTAGCTATTGATTTCCTACGTCAAAGAAAATTTGAGACCATTTAAAGACAACTATTTTAAAATATTAAATTTCTAACAGGAAAATCCATCTTTTTCCGAGAAAATACCATAACCCGTCTGAATGTCATATTCCACCACTTCCACAATACTCAACTCACCTCACCTTACCCTTTTCTCCACGTTTGTGTCTGTCTCTTTTTTATTAGTGAATCACTCTTCTGTTCCCCCTTTCGACTTTTCCTCAATTAGATATTCCTCCCTCTGTGAAGCACAAAGTCAGCTAAAGGGCTAATGATGAGAAACATTTATTTATATCAAATGGCAGGCGTTTTGATAGTTATCATTAGCCCTTTAGCTGACTTCAGGCTTCACAGAGGAGGAGAAACATTAAAGTGAAAAAGTCGAGAGGGAGAGGGGGAACAAAAGAGAGTTTCAAAGATGCAAAAGAGACAGACACAAAAGTGGAAAAAAGGTGAGGTGAGTAGAGTGGAAGTAGTCGAATATGACATAGTTTGAAGTGAGAAGTCAACTGCCAGTTAATAGACTTTCTTGCCGTATGAGTATACGTTGCCCAGGGTGCACCACGTGGAGGTAAGTCTATCGCACACCACTTTATATAAATAAATGCTTGACATTATTATCTGTTTAGAAGCACACACCGCTTACTCGTTTTTATCTTAACTGAGGTTATGTAAACTTTTAATTCATGTTACACTAATTGGTGAATTGAATATTGGAAAAAAAATTGTGAAAGCGTGGATCAATAACCACATAGATGTCCACAATCCAGAAGGCAATGAAGAACTCCTGGGCACTACCCTTCCCAGTCAAGTATTCAGAATCAATCTTGATGATTCGTCCGCCTATTAACAGAACGACTGCCCCCCTGACTAGTATAATGACTCAATTGCTACCATTTTTAAGAATTGCCATCACTATTAGCACGAGTGAGCACTACATCGTGACGAATAAACACTAAGCACGAACACAATGGACTACGATATCGCAGAAGCCTATGCCTAAGTGCCTGCATTTCCTCAGAAATTTATTGAAATTTTAATTAGAAGTGGTTCATAACAATGTCATTTAAAGGAAATGAAATCATAATAAAGAAGCTCTGAAAGACTATCCACTATGAAAAAGTAGACGTTGATTTTTAGCCAGCTTTACTAAGGAACATTGATTAAAAGTCCATTAATAGGAGTATGGGGAGGGTATTGGAGTAAAGGCCAACATACATCAAGGAGAATTATACGAAAATGAAAATTCACATGTCACTTTCGAAGTAAAAAAGAGGCGGTAATACTTGTTGTAGAAATTGTTAGAGGGAAAATTGTAGCCAAGGAAAGATGACTGTACACAAAAAAGTAAGTACCGGAAATAGCAAGATGACGCTACAATGCGTAGCAGTGAGAATGAGCCCATGGAACAGAGAAAGGGGATGGACAGTCTTACAAAATACAGGCGAAAACAAGAAAAAGAGGCGAACTAGACCTTACAAAGCTGCCGCATTATTTGATTCAGCTGTTGATGAACCTTCATTATTGCAATCATCACCAGCACCACTTTCCTTTCCACTCTCATCAACGTCCATCGCACTACTGTCACCACATTCAACACGAGGACGCTTGGGTGCAGAACGATAGGACTGGACGTCCTTGGAGGTCTTTGTACCTTTTGGAGGAACCGACAAACCAACACCGTCTTCCTCACCCGAATCGTAGTATTCATTGTCTTTGTGAGTGGATTTATCAGAAGCCATAATAGAGATACGCTTATCAGGATCCTCGTTTTCAATCGCTTCCTTTTCCTGCTCCTCTACGTCAACAGCATCAGGAGGGATGTCTACAAAAAAAGAGAAATATAAACACTTCTCCGAAATTAAATAGATCAGTAGATGTCAATATTATTACCAATCATTGGAGCACTGGGCGCATGAGGAAGCATTCTGAGGTTTTCAAACAGCTTGCTCTTAACCCGATCGATGTACTCAGGAGAATTCATATTAGGCGTGTTGCTAGGACTAATATGAAGCTTGAATTCGGGACCAAAGTACTCATAGTAGTCATTATAAGGCAGATCATTTGGTATTTCGGTATTGAGAGCAATTGAGGTTTCATAAGTCCAGCAACGTGCAACATTGCGAATAGTATAGCCACCCCCACCAAGCATAAGAAGAGGAACATCAAAAGAACGCAAGAACTCAACACACTTTCCATGACCCCTAAGACTTAGATTGAAGCACCCAAGACGGTCCCCGCTGAGAGAATCAGCACCACACTGAAGGACAACAGCACCAGGACGAAACGTCTCCATAACCTTAGAGATAACTGGTCTGAAAATCCCCTGGTAACATTCATCATCCATGCCATCACGAAGTGGGCAGTTGACAGCGAAATGTTTGCCACGACCAGCGCCAATATCTTTAAGATCACCAGTTCCAGGGAAATATTCACCATACTTATGGAAACTAACTGTCATCACACGATCGGTTGTATAAAAGGCCTCCTCAACACCATCACCATGATGAATATCAATATCCACATAAAGAACACGTTGGTGGTACTTAAGCAACTCCAGAATGCCCATCACAATGTCGTTAACATAACAGAACCCAGAGGCCTCAGACTTTTTGGCATGATGAAGTCCACCACCCCAATTGATGGCAATGTCGGTTTGCTGCTTGTTTAATTTTACTGCACCAGCAACTGATCCACCAGCAGAAAGTTGGCAGAATTCAAAGAGACCGTCAAAAACGGGACAATCTTCTCCAACATTAAAGCGTTGCATTTGCTTAGTATAATCCACCATATTGTCAGGACGTATTGAGCGAAGGAAATTAATGTACTCATCACTATGAAACTTTGTCATGTCTTCTTGATTTGCCTTGGCAGGTCGATAAACCTCCATTTTTCGATATAGACCGTAGTTGAGAAGGAGATTATGAGTCATGCGGATGCGATGGGGCTTCATCGGATGGCCTTGTCCGTAGTAATAGTTACCGATATCGCCTTGGCGAAGAAGTAAAAGTAAATGAGCGAGAACAATACGCAATAATACTTATCGTATAAACTATGCCTAGTTTATAACTAACCATTATTTGAATCAAGCAACAAAAATGATAAAAAATGAGAACGCACCATCGTAATAATAGCAAACCTTCTTATTCGCGATCGACTCCATTCTTCAAATTAAACAACAAGCCCGGGTTCTGCTCCAAAGAAAGTAAAACTTAAACATTTAAACAAGTTATCTTTTAATTCATTGTTTTATTTAATAGAGTTATTTGGCTTAAAAATATATAAATAAACTAAAATAATTTCATTCAATACATTACAATCGTTATTTATTCATGCATAATAAATTGCGGGCAGAACGAAAGGCTTTGATGAACCGCCGATGCATCATCCTGAGTTAGCTTACCTTCGACAAATTGTCAAACAATCTGATCCTAAAACAGAATATAGAGTTCTTGCTAACATTGGAAGTGGTACATATGGTGATGTATATAAGGTACGACCTATTTCAGCGTTACTGAAATGAATTTTTTGCCCTACATTGTTTTAATCGCAAATTTTTCCCTTGTATGAGTTGAGTAAACTCTTGAAATACTTTGTGGAAGTATTTTAATTTTATTAAGCTTTCTTGTTACTTTCTCTGTAGGCTCAAAGACGCGATGACCGTCGATTGGTGGCGATAAAGATTATGAAAATAGATCCTAAGGATGATATTCGAGCAATTTGTCAAGAAATTCATACACTCATGGAATGCTCTCATCCCAATATTGTGCAGTACTATGGGAGTTACCTTCGGTTGAACAAATTGTGGATTTGTATGGAGTTTTGTGGTGGACAGTCAATGCAGGACATTTACCTTTGTATGTTTTCCTATCTCAGAGTTTAATTAATTTCCTTTAGATACTCGTATTCCATTGCAAGAGGATTGTATTGCTTTTGTTACGAGGGAAACTCTTAAAGGCCTACGACATATGCATGCTAGGAATCGAATACATCGAGATATTAAGGTATTTATCGGACTTTTTATTCTTTGATTTTCTAAAGGGTGCCAACATCCTCTTGACCGAGCGAGGTGAGGTTAAAATAGCAGATTTCGGTGTTGCTGCAAAGTTGAGCACCTCTATGGTCAAACGAAGTACCGTTATTGGTACCCCGTACTGGTAAGTAGAACTTTTTTACTTTATTCGCTCTTCCACGTCTTTAATTTTATTTTAGTTCTACCTTAATGTACCATTTTTCTGTATGTTGCGTTAACAGTACGATTTATGCAACTGAATTAGTTTTCTCCTAATTGTGCTGACAATAAAAGTTTTGTCATTTTCTCCTTAACTTTAGTTTTAACAATGTTCTGTGTTCGGTTATAAGTGAGTTAACATTATTGGTGCATTAAATATCAGAATGATTCTCTGGGTCAATTCCTTTTTAGTGGTTGTAAGAATTTTGACATTTAAATTGAGACATGCAGATTTTCCGTCGTGCTATGCATAAATTAATCGCTTTAGTCATCTATTTTTTCGTTTATCTCTGAATTCACCTAATGTCTAACCTTATGTGACCCCCTTGTTTATTTTGCCATAAGTAAAAGACCTTAGCCATCGCTCCAACTCATTTACACCGGTTGTTATTAATTATTGGTGCTATTCATGATATTCTGTAAAGTAAGTGAACTGGGGTATTCAGAAGTGCACTTTTTTGTTGTAGCACTAAGTTGCTATCATATGTTTCTCTTTAACTGTTTTGATAATATGTTTCTCAATGCACTTTATATTTTTTCAATGCTTTATTGAGAATATTGTCGTTCAATTCCCACTGTTCTTGCTATTTTAAAGCGTTATGTTGGTATGAGTAGCATTCCTAACCCTTTGTAAAGTACGAATTTGCGGCTTTGTGCGTCGTGCGCTGTGTGATTTTACATGCGGCCACATCTGATGATACGATCCTGTCACGTTTTTGTGATAGCACGTTTATTGTTTATGTCATTCGTCTGATCTCCTTTCTTTATTAAATGGCTGATCCCATTGCAGCACAATTTTAAGTTTTATTAGTTCTGGCAATGTATAAATATCAATTAAATAGAGATGTTTTATAGACAGCCAAATGAACTCTTTCCTATTAGTGTTATCCAAGTCCATGTGACTTCGTATGACATTCTACTTTCAGATATTTGAAGCTCGCTTAATATTTTCTGAGCGAATTTTAATTTACAGTGTATATTAGTTGGTTGACATAGCTGAGTGTATTTATTTGATGTTACTCCTTTAATGTGTCACTTTTTGTTGATATGGTTCCCATGAAAATGTTTTTGGAACTATTGGCACATGGACGCTAGGCGCTCTCTTAAGTCAGTAAGCTAAGCTGCACTCCCCCTATGCAATGTATGTAGATGGCTTTTTGATGGTAGTGTTCCCTAATTTATAATTATAATTAGTATTTCTCATACCGTTGCACTGACAAATATTTCGAATCTTAGCTAAGCATTTTCACAAGTTCCTGGTTTGTATTGTTTGTGCTATGCAGTTGAAATAGATGTTTATATCTTATCCAAATTTATCATCCCTTTAATGATTGAATATCATTTTCAGATTTAGTCGAATTCAATGATAGTAATTTGTGCATTTTCTGCTTGTAAAAGGATTAGAATCAGCAGTCTTAATCGCGAAGTAGGTGGTATTTCTATTTGCTGTTTTTCTTGATCCATTGATTCTTGCCTCTATTTTAATGATAGCTGAAACCCACGTCTAAAAATTCCTTCTTTGGAAGCTATTGTATTCTTAAGTAGGTATAACTCTAAAGTTTTGTTGATTTAACCATGACCAATGGCTAAGCTATGCTTGTTTAATTGATACTTTATAGGGATCTGCAGATGTACACTTTCAACGTGCCCTTGAATAACAGCAGGCATGCCAATATGGCAAAGCCTCCTCCCGCCTAATGCTCCAAAAGTTCTGAAATATTAATAATAAAGACTGGATGTATCAGACAAAAGATAACTCATCAATCATCAAATTGCCTACGTTCTTACATACTTCTTTCTGTTTTCTCCTTTTTCAGGATGGCACCGGAGGTGGCATCGATGGAACACAGGGAGACGGGTTACGATGGAAAATGCGATATCTGGGCAGTGGGAATTACAGCCATTGAGTATGCTGAACTCCAACCACCCCTCTTTGACCTGGAACCCCTGATGTATGCTTTGAACTCCTTTATATGATATCTTTTGAATCACTCTTACTACGTAGTCAGTGAATGTGCTTATCGCATTTTATTATGATGTGAAGACGTAATTTATTTTCCTGCCAATGGTAGTTATTTGTTATTTAGTCATGGTGGCCCTGATGTGCACATTTAGCTAGCTCTGAAGTGGCTACCCCATCTAAATCCTTAGGCCATTTTTATATTTTTTTGTCATCGCGAGAAACTAAAGGAAAGAGTTTGAGTAGAAGTGGGAATTAAAGCCAAGAAGTCAAAGTTATATGAAATTCATTATTTGACATAGGTTTATATGAGCTGAAGTTAGTAATAAACAGAAAACAAAGCACACTTAATCAGGAGATCTAATCAGGAGTTAAGCAAGAGATAGTGAGGATTATTGTTGAACGTCGAGTTAGGCGGGGAAATTTTAAGAGTAGGAGCAAAATAACAAAACCAGGACATTGAAAATGCAGAGTTGAACGTCTGCGCTACTTGTTTTGTAGCCGAACTTTCGTCGGTTACAGGTGGAAACTGGTTTATCGAGAAAAGTGTGAATACCAATCTGAAAACTGAAACTTTTGGGAATAGCTTAAATAAAGATAAATACTTAAACCTATTTTATCCTCGAAATGAATAAAATTAAGATTATTCAAAAATAAATATATTTTGAGCCACTGGTATTCTGTTTGTAGCTTAAGAATGAATTAAGTGTCGATAATGACCCTTCTTGCGCTTGTTGGTAATAAAGTTGGTTTGCCGCTTTTCACATTTCTCTTATTTTTTTGAATGTATCAACTCTTCAAGAATTTTTTAATCAATTTTCCTTAATTTTAGTATTTTAATATACTGTGTTTTACAATTTCATCTTACTTTTTCCTCTCTTCTAGCGAGTATTCTTTAACCTCGTTTTACTTTGTTACTCAAAGTTAATAGTGTTATGTTAAATAGGGTAGCGTTCTTTACTCTCTTCTGTCATAAAAGGTGGTGTTTAAATACAGTCTGTGAGACTCCTCATCCCCTCAAATGTATATACTATTTTGTGACTGGGAACTTGTTTGCAAAGGAGGCGTTATTCGGGTGATTTAATAAGTATCTATCGTATTAGGCGTTGTTAAGTGTTAGCTACTAGCCTCACTCAGCTGCTAACTCCTCATTAGTTACTTCTCTGGTCTGTCTGCCTCGCTAGCAATGTGTTTGGATGCTTCCAGTGTCTCAACGGCACTCCTATCAAACTCTTTCCTGTTTTTTTTTGCAGGGCACTTCAATGTCTGGGGGCACGTAATTACAAACCACCGACACTGAAGGAGCGCTCAAAGTGGTCAGCACACTTCCGGAATTTCGTCAAACTTTGCCTCACCAAAAACGAACGCAATAGGCCTGATGCTGCAACCCTCCTCACTGTAAGCCGTCTTTTGACATTTCTCTTTACAGCAATCGTTTGTAAGATTTAATAATTAGTAGAATCTAACAGTTTTACCGAGTTATCATTGGAGGTAATTTCATACCCTATAGCCCGTACTTTTAGAGCTAATATGGGGAGGTAGTGTGGAAACAACTTAGGGCTCCACAGTGAAATCTACTTAACATTCGCTACATTGTTTTGAACTGGTACTTATGCAATAATGATCTATCACCTTCATTTATACTCAAACAGTCGGTTTGCGAATTTCGTATCACTTCTATAACTAAATATATTCTTGAGCATTCCTAAGAGAGTTGCTTATCAATCTATGTACCCATGGCTTCTTTTCGTGATATTGTAACAGTAACGTTACTTGGGTTTATGCGTTTGGTAATAATGTCATGTCAGACTCGAATCTGTTTCTAGAGGAAAAATATGCTATCCAACCATTTCCCATGAGCTTCATGAAGCTATGGAAGATAGAATATTTAAATCACTCAGACTCATTGTTGGTGTAGCTCTTCCAATTAAAGGATGAAATTTTTGTTATATGGTATGTGTGTTTTATTCTCCTATCAAGCTAGTTAGTATTGGTATCTTTTGAATCGTGATGGTGAAAAAGCAAATAAATTTACATTTTCGATGCGATATTCAGTGCGAAGGTTTCTCAATTTCCCTAAAGATGTAAAGGATGTACAACAAAGAAAGTTTTAACTCAAATTAATGGTAGGTCCCCCCTTTTAAAGCTTGTGATTTCCTTTTTTTCTTGTTCTTTGGAAAAATTTTACAAAAGTAAAATTAAATCGAACCGTATTTTCATTCTTGTTTTTTTTCTCTAAATATCCTTCCTCTTAGGACTTTAGCTGTTTTTACTAAAATTTGATAGGAAGAAGATTTCTAGGTTTCCTTAACTCCTTAGAAAACATGAATTTATGCAATTTCTATCATGAGAACACACCATGATGTATTCAATCGGCTGAGTCTGAATTGCTGAAATTGTGCTATTCAAATCTTTACGTTCGTTAGTTTCACACGGTTTTGAAAGTGTAAGTAATATCGGTCACCATTTACACTATATGCATTGGTCCTTTGTCATTTAAAAGATTAAGGTGGTAATTGCAAGTTTGAAACTCCTAACTTCTTAGATCTCTCTCTCTCTCTCTCTCAATAGCCTTATCTCGTGTAAGGTTGTTTGTATAAAGTGATTGGAAGGTCGTTCGTTTTTAAATTTATTCAATCTGCCAGGCGATTAATGCATTCTACCAATATATCTAGTTAAAAGCTTGTCTGTGGCATATGACTACCATAAATGCCTCTTAAGTTATTAAAAAGGACAGGGGGTGTTATGGGATTCGATTACTTCGTCTTCTGATTACAAAGAATAAGACCTAGGGTGCTAAATAATGTGATTATTGAAAGTCAGTATCTTGAACACTCCACCTGTCAGGCTTCCATGGATTGTTATGGTGTTGAGAATTGCAGATCTATTAGGCTGGCGTTTTTCCTTTGAATTCTCAGTTCAGTTGATTTGTTTGTTAACTATTATGCGGATTGGCAGTGGCCGAGACTGACTGAAATAAGTTCAACTTAAAATGGTAGTTCGTATATTTAGGTAATTATTAAAAAGGCAAGAATTTATGCACTTGGAGAATTCGTTTTAATATTTTCAATTTTCCACTTTCAGCACGACTTTGTAGCCAATCCTTCACTCTCTATTATTTCCACACGAGAGCTCCTTGATTTAAAGCATACATTGGAGGAGCGAGAGAAGGCGGCATTTGCAGCCTCTGTCACACCTGCTGGAGCAAAGATTAAGGTTTCTGCTGCTTTGGGACCCTCTTCAGAATCGCCACCTGCCCCACCACCGCCTCCCATTCCACAAAAGATGCAACAGCCTCCACCGTCTCAACAGGTTCAACATCACTACCCCCCAGCTGCCGCCTCTGAACAGCCCATCTGGCCTGTGTCAGTGAGTAAGGAACGACCACGCTCACTCATGCTTCTTCAGGACTACCAACAACAAGAGAATCGCAATGGATCAGGAGGCAACGTAAGTATCCCATATCGTAGAAATTTTTTTTATCTTTATAAAGTCGTTATCGTGCCGACCGAGTATACTTTTGCATTCCCTGAATGAGGGATTAGACTCTTATCCCATTAGAGGTAACACTTGAAGGGCATTCTACTCGCTGATTTAGAACATGTATGAATCAGTATTGGATTGTATGAGTGTTTATTTAAATCACGTTGCTTGGTTCTTATGGATATTTTCAATATTTATTTATTTCAAATCGCAGGCGTTGTGTAGTTGTCATTAGCCCTATAGCTGACTTCGGGCTTCACAGAGGGGAGGAACATCAAAGTGAGAAAAATTCGATAGGGGGAACAGAATAGTGATTCACGGATGTTAAAGAGGCAGACACAAAGGTAGAAAAAGGTGAGGTGAGTACGGTGAAAGTAGTCGAACATGGCATACAGTGGAGTCACGGTAGTTTGTAGTGAGAAGTCAACTGCCGGTATATTGACTTTTTGCCGTGTGAGTATACGTTGCCTAGGGTGCACCACTTGGAGGTAAGTTTATCGCACACTCCATATTTTCAATATTTAATAGGTTTTATCCTCCTACTTATATGTATCGATTTTTTCTATCCCCATGCTAATTCTTT